ATTTTGTCCCCCCACACTGAGTACAAGACTAAACTGATGTTGTCAGCTATTAATCTGCATTACCAGCAGCAAGACACTTTCTGAATCTAACACAATGATGACCAGTGCCAAACAAAGCATAAGGTGATCCATTTCTATTTAATAAAACTGTTTTAAAAATTTTTCGTCTAGGCAAATCAAGACTCTGTACTTAAAATACTAAAAAAAAAAAGCCTTTTCCAGAAGAAACTAAGCTTATTATTACATGTTGGTGTAAGTGTATAATCAGCCATTTATCTCCAGCTCAGACTTCTAACCTGAGCTGTTAGAACAACCAACATGGCATAGCTGTATCTGTAGCTTCAAACATTTTAGGTTTGGTTTTCTTGACACTTTCTACAACAATAAGATTATAAATTAAGAATGATAGTATCTAAGTTTACATTCAGTGCTTTTAATTGTTTCAAACCAAGCTACTTTTTCTTGACAAATCCACCCTCCAGAGAAGATGATGAGGATTACATTTCTCTGCTCCAGCACACAGCAATCAGCATGATAAATCAAAGAGATGTGCAACTTCCAATTTCTGAATTACAGCAAAGTATCACCAGATGGCAGCAGAAACCCGTCCTTGCCCTCCAACTCCTTGAGGCTTGATGGAAACATTACATTTCCACTGCCAAGATAACCCCAGAATTTCACCAACTAGGTCAAAATTGCAGATCTTTATTCTATTTGAGCCCAATATTTACCTTCTAAAAGACAAACAGTTTTTCCATTAAGTTGAATTTAAAAATCTATCAAAAAAACACAGTTCAATACAGTTTGAAACAGACCAAATAACATGACAAGTTTCTGTTTGGTTTTGTTTTTAAGAGAGCTGAACTTTTTCTTCTTTCCAGATCCACACTAAAGCTATATAGATACAGATATAGATACATATGCGATTTCTCCAGAGTAATTCAAATAGGTCTGTTAAACCTGTACACTTTAAACAATTGTTGACTAATTACTGCACGAAAACAAGAGCAAGAAAATCTTGTCATGTGACCTGCTGCTAGAAAATGCTTATACTGTTCTTTCTCTCCCCAGTAAACAGGGATTTAACAGCACTACAAAGACGACAACAAGCTCATTTGGGTAAAGATACCAGACACCTTCCTGGTGTTCCAAAAAAAATAAGAATCGGCAATTTTACACCTGGAGAGAGAGTGAATGGATCAAGAGCAGACAATAAAACATGATAACTGTTGCACAGCATTGAGAGTGCCCCAGTGTAAGACAAAAAATATTACTCAGGAAAATTAAGGCAGGGAAAATTACACGGTAGCAGGAGAAGCAGAATGGCAATTAAACCAAGGCTGAAAAGAGATCTGATTTTGTTTAAAATCATCTGGGTTTTGGTCCCAGATGTACCATGTACAATGTAGCATTTTAAAATGAACTTCTCTCGTTTCTTCAAATGTGTATCACTGATCGACAATGAACTACTACCCTTGTCACTGCTGCACCACCAGGCTCCACTGGTCCAATCTTTACTACTGAAAGAGGTGTCTGTACCATAATTTATATAAAACTGAGGTTGCAAAAAACACAATTTACACAAATCCCATCATTTAAATAATATTCCAGGATCTAGTTCTCAGGAGAAAATAGACAACTGAACTTGAGCAAAACTCTAACTTTCTATCTACTTCCTTCCAGAGCTACCAGACTGACAGACTATGACAAGCAGAGGATGGAGAATAAAAATTACATCTTGCAAAACCTCCCCAGCATCCCCAATGTTCTGAGTAAGATTTGCCCAACAGAAAGATCTGCTGAGGTACTTGTAACATTACCTAATTTGCTCTTTCACTGGGACTTTTGTTCGCTCTTCCTCCTAGAATTTCACAAGGAGCTCACTGCTAATGAACACGTGTTTAAAGCACAGACATGAGTCTGGAGAGTTCACAGGCCACCTGGTGAGTTCTTAGAACCTCCAGTGATCTTCAAATATCTACTCCAGAGTCATGTTCATGTATACATATAATTTATGGCTTTTAAAAGTATCAGTTAAGTAACACTTTGAAATTCTCATCTACTTCCACACCACAGAGGAACAGAAAGAAAAAAAAATAAATTGAGAGTACTGTTCCTTGCACTCACATATTATTTAATCAGAAAAGTCCCAGAAAATATCACAGTTACAGCTTAATTCCTTTTCCAAACCTGTAATCCTCATTTTCCTCATTTAAAAATAAAGACTAGAGGTTTGATATTGTTTTATTTGTTTGTGTCTCAATTTTTGTGAAAAACACTTAAAAAGGCTAAGACTTACTCTGGTTATTGTCTGTGTTTGTCTGAACTTCTACAGGAATAGACTGCAGAGCTGTCATAATCCTCTGAGCAGTATCAGATAAAGGCACTTTAGAAATCTCACATCCTATGTACATGCACTGCTCCATTTTTAAGATTAAACCTATACACAGAACACACAATTTATTAATTAATCAGGGCCACAATCCTCATTTATATTCTGTTCAAAATATAGTGAATGTGTTCAACCATTTATTCTCAACAGAAAATTACATTTCCTCCCAGACGTGTCTGTTAGCAACATACTGTAAAAAAAAACCATAATAATTTTTAAAGACTAGTATCTTTAAAACAGTGGTTTAATACACTGATTTAAAAAAAATCAGCACTCTTAAGTACAGCTAACTTGTACCAGAAAAAAAAAAATCTAGCAAATAAATCAAGAATTTGATGTATGTCTGACATGCTCTCCCCCCTCAGTATCTTTATACCAGTGTAGCACATGCATACAGTTACTGTTATTGGTGCTTGGATTTTATTAGGAAAAAAAACAACCAACTGTCAAGTAACTGCCAAAATTGAGCCAACACAAGATGAGAGAAACATGCATTACTAGCATGGTAAACAACCATTAATTATGTGCTGTTTCATGAAATACTTATCATAAAAGACCTCTATTTCTTAAATTTTCTATAATTGATGCACTCAAGCACTGTTACATACAAGTAACTTTAAAATAGTTACTACAGTTGGTCAGTTTGAGAAACTAGTCAGCAACATCTACAGTCTCTACAAGCTTTGACCACCACTGTTGTCCTAAACTTTATCCTCTTCTGAGAAGGAGTAGCTTTTCCAGTTGACCTGGCCAATTACATACAATTACATACATTCTGTATTACATACAAAATACTCGGAGAATCCCCAGATACAACTCACACTGGAGAATCACAAATAATGGTGTCCACACTGATGCCTTGTTATTTTACACATTTGGTTTTTTTTTACAGAAGAATGCATAAAACTCAACAAAAACACAGCAGAAATATCCAACATTTTCAAAACACTTGAAGGATCCAAGCTGTCCAAGTCAATTGCTCCATCAAAAACTGCTGTTTACTAAATTACTCCTATACAAGGTAGCAAGTGGAGTCCTGTTGCTCTGGTCTTCTCCACTAAATACAGTGCACGAGCAGACCACCAAGTTTAACCATCATGCAAACAATAGTTCCTTTGCTTGCATGGAAATATTTTTCTTAGCTCAAGACCACAGGCAGATTGCAGCTTTGAATACTTACAAGTGCAAACATTTGTATCTCGATTCAGGGAGGAACATCCATCCTGCTGCATTAGAACTGGCTGTATCTATCTAGCTCAAATTAGTAAGTGTGTGAAGGAAAGCAAGAGAGAGGCAGAATGGCTTTCTTTTCCGGGATGTTCCAGGAGCCACACACACACAACTCCTCCTAACTTTTATAATTAAGAGCAACACTTCTTTCCTACACGGGGTTAAAGTGCTCCCTGACTTCTCAGGGTGGGAAGCAGCAATCACAGCCTGAGGGGCAGATCAAAATGAGAACCCAGCAGACTAAATATAAACAAGACACTGTGCCTGAGAACAGGCCTAAAACCAACACACAGATTCACCAAAAATATTGACCACACTGAACTGAATTTATAGAGTTTGGCATTTCATAATAAATACAAAGTATAGAGTTAAGCAGCATGAAATCCAGACATAAAGACACTTAAACCAGTGTGATAAAAAAAAATTTAAACATTTCAAAATAAGTTATGCTCACATGAAAGTTAAAAGTCTGCCATCAAAATAGTTTAAAGTCTACTGTTACTGAAGTTAATGCTGATACACTAACCTCCATCAATGTGTACAGTGCTTGAAAGTAAGCACAGCTGATCCCATCAAAATACAAAAGACTGGAAGTTATCACACCATAAAAGCCTATTTAGTTCCATTGATATATTAGGAAGCTATACAAAAATTTGATAAACAGGCTAACAATGCACATGAAAGCAGAAGTATGAAAGTATCAGCACTCTGAATTGAAATGCCTATCATTATAAATTACAGAGCAAACTCAGAAGTCCAAAAGATAAGTTCAAAATTCTTCTTCTTTGACAAGCCCAGTATAAGTATGGACTGATTTCAATGGAGAAGACAGGTCATAAGTTAAATTAGGAGATGCTGGAATGGTCTTAAAACAGATGGTCTTGGTAGCTAAAACAGATTCTGGTACCTATTCCAACACATTTTTAACAAAACCAAATCTTCTTAGAACTGTAAGGGAAACAATCATGGAATATCTGCCTTGGAGAACTCTCCTCTTCACTATGAGCACATTACACTCATGTTCCAAAATCTGGAATGCCTCCTCCACATTTATTTTGTGGTTCACAGTCAGAGGTTCTCAGCATGCAAGAAAACTTAAGGGTATGAAATGCTCCTTTTGGTGCCATGCTGTGTGCAGCAGAAAGGAACCTACAGGCCAGGAGAAGGGCAGCCTGAATATAATTCTTTCAAATAAACAGTGCATTACTTTGTATCCAAGAGCTGTGACAAAACTGAGATTGAACTCGGCAGGTAGATGCCCAAGCAGCACCCAATGCACTGGTAACAAACACACTGCAGGACAGGTAAGTGTCAGCCTGGACAAGCTCATGTTTATTATTCCACAGACTTGTAGACAGTTTACACTAAGGTCTTCCTTTCTTAGGAGTACACTGGAGTTTAGACATTAGGAACTCCACCGGTTGTGAAATTCTCATCTTCCAGACCACTGGCTTTAGCTTGAGACTGCTGCTCAAGATTCTCCACCATCTCCTTCAAGTGATCTTCATCTTTGAAAAAATACACATACAAGTCTCTTTCCATCTGTTGCAGCTTGTTGGACTCCAGAATGCTTTTCTTCGACTTCAGATCAGCAACCAGATCCATAAGGAGTTGATTTAGTTTATTTATATCAACTTCCAGTTGATGAAACAGCTCAGTAAGTTCCTAACAAAAAATACAAGACAAAAAATTAACACTTTTATATTATTAATACATTAGCTGAAATAGAAATACAAAAGTTTTTTTCTGCTTTAGGAAGCCACTTTCGTTTGTAATTGAAAAGTAATCACAAAAAAAGACATAAACAAAGGTGGGAAGGGATTCCATTCAATTTTTGAGCTCCATGTAAAGGAAATCACTTCAGGTTATGAAGATGTAATTTCCTTTGCTGGTTGACCAGATGATTTAAGACCATAAAACCTGACCTAGACAGATGAGTGAATGACGTTTTCAATCAATTAAAAGTCTTCATTGCTAGTCAAATTTTAAAAGGGAAAAAGAGACCACAACAAAAAAGCCAAATCAATTTCACAATTAAATCATTAATTACCAGCTACAATTTTCCCAACTGGTACTCTTATGATAGTTCAGTATAAGCAGACTAGTCATCTACTTACACATTATTTCCTTATTAAAGGAATTACTCTCCTTGAGAAACAGTAGCAGTAAAAAGAGATGTCACTATGTTTTAAGAGGCAATTTGAGTCAACAGACAAGTATTTGATCTAATAATGTATACTCCCCACATACGCACTGTTCCAATTACAGTTTCATTTTTTAATAAAACCTGTTCTATATGTTGCGAATTCACTTGACTGATGAAAGTTAAATATATTTTTATGTAATTAACAAAGGAAGTATTACATAACAGGAGATTTCCCTCAATGCATTTTTGAAGTATCTACAATGATTTAAAAACCATAACAAGTAGCATTTAACAAACCCTATTCCCATTTAAAGGATGATCTAAACCCAGTGCCTGGGAGCTGTGTAGCAGGATTGTCCTACTACAACTGTCCTTCAAAATCCTGTTATAGTTATTTTGTCCAAATGAGCCAGGTTTTTTAAGGGGTCAAACCGTTCTACTGGGGTGCTACAGGTAACAGGGGAGAAAAAAGCCCATCTGAAATAAAGAGAAATTTAAATGAGTTTTCCAATTACACCCTATCCAGACAACATATTTCCCACATCACAAATTGACAGGACTGCACATGCCTTTGAAAGAAAATAAGTTAGATGAAACAATTTGCTCAGACACAAAAAAATTATTACCTGCCAGCCTTTACAAAAATCCAACATTTGCCAAGAACAATGTAAATAGAGAGTCCATCATCATTATGCTAATAAATTTGTTGCTGACAAGTGGGGACAGTTTGTGTGTCTACAGCCTTCACACTACATTTTTGTCAGGGAAAGAACATGACACACAATATTGTAATAATTTTAATGGCTCAGTAAGGGCTTACCGGGCTACGGAGCTGTATCTGATTTCCTCCACAATACAGAGAATCACGAAGGGCATCTACATCTCTTTCCAGGCTGGACAAAAGGAGAGACTGCTCTTGAGAAGACGCTGCTATCTGCTCTTGTACCGTAGCACAGTCTTGCTTTAACTTCTGAGCCATCTGCTCCAGGTTTTTGTACGTTTTAAATAACTGCTGTTTGTTATTTCCTCCTTCTAGGAGCTGATATAGCCTGTAACAAGTGAAGTAAGACACACAAGCATTTTTAAGTTTCCTAAGCACTCTGTCATCATTAGTCAAGAGAAGATGGCCATGCTGAGAATTCAGAGGACTAGTAAAAGGTAATATTGCTCAGGGTTCTCTTACTACACTGCTGTATCTCCCACTGATTTCATGATTCTATCTATACACAGTTAATGATTAACAGGAATCCAAAATATCGCAATATTAAATTAGTAGCAATGAAATTCAAAGTAACAGTTAGTAAATACATAATGAATGCAAATAGAAGTTGACAGTGTGCTTTTGCCAACTATTTCCCAACTCTTCAAGAACTGCAAAATAAGGTGTTTTTTTTTTTGAAGTGCTGAAAAAAAGCAGACTTCAATGGCCAATAAGAACAATCTTTGTAACATTTTCAAGCCTACTGGTGTATTTCCTGTTTTCTATGAAGAGACTGCTAAGAAATTCTCCAGATAGTTACAAGTCATGCAAAAGACAGCATTTCACACTACACCAAACTTACAAAAAGTGCCCTTATATTGCATCAGGAATAGGCCGATATGATCATAGGTAACTCTGCTCAAGTGTTACTACCAACTCTGCATAATAAAATCTTCAGGAGTTGAGCCCTAATATAAAATCAGATTGCTTTAGTAAGAGCAGGAGCTATATTTCAAAAGTAACTGAGTTTCTTTTGCATGTCTTCTGCTTACAAACATTTTAAAGTTTTTTACTCTTTCAACTTCCCTTCTCTTTTTTTTTTTTTTTTTTTTTTTAAAAAAAAAAAGTGGAAAAAGTAGCCAGACAACATTCAGTGACTTGGAAACTTTATAATAAACCTGAACAAAAATGTTACAAGTTGACAATGCAAACATACAATGTGAGCAAAATTAATGCTGCCTAATTAGTCCAGTTATTCACTATGCCAAACCATACTCTGCTATCATTTGGCAACTGTTAAAAAACCCCAACACCTAAAGCTCCATTCTAAAGGAGGGGAAGTCTGACAGTAAGACACTTGTAATTATACAATACACCTCATCAAAAGAACAGCAGCCCAGCACACATCCCTGGCTGCATCACCTGAGCTACAAGGAGAATTAACTACTTAGTGAAAAATCAGACTCCTCCATGGATGACAGGACACTCAAACCAGATGGAAATCAAGCAGTAAAAATGAGCTGAACACATTTCATGGACTGAAGGAGTCATTCCTCTCTCCTACCACACAGGAGTTTTTGCCAGCTCAGCTGACGAGGCCACACATCAAACTGAGAAATCACTGTTATTAACGTCTGTCCTTCTAGAGTAGCTCTCAGGAGGTCCTACATCAGAGCCCCATATAAGACAGGTTTGGCTTTGAGCATTCATTATGTTCTGGATACGGCTTAGGAACAGTATTAAAAAGATTGATAATTAAACAGTTTTTCCTCAGGCAAATGTGCAAAGAATTTCAAAGGACAAGGAAGAAGCAGGTTTCGTATCTTGAAGACTTCAGTTCTTGAGAACTGAAAATAATAATTAGCTACAGCAAGTACCCAAGAACTTCACAATAGGAAAGGCTTAGTTTGCCTAAGTCTTCATCTCCCCAATATTATTTCAAAGCAAGTCAAAGTTCAATAGTGACCATAACACTTACCTGCAAGCGAAACCATCCTCTGGACTAATAATGTCTTTCGGCTTTGCAGGTTGAATGCGCTCAGTTATGGCCTGTAGTCTCTGCTGCAACTCATCAGTGCTCTTCTTCAGAGATTCTACCAAATTCTCAAGCTGACAGCTGATCTCCTGGTGCTTCTTCATCTCCATTTTACAGCCCAGCTCAATAAGTTCAAACGATGTTTTCTGTCTTATCAAGTGCCTGCACATTTCATCTTGTCTTGCAGCGTAACAGTCCTGCTGGGCAATCTGATGATCCAAGTAGGTTCTCAGCACAGGCTCAGTCAAAAGTTGTGCTTTCTCTTTCAGAAGGGGAAGCAGCTCCTCGCTGTTTATCTGAGCTATATCTCGTTTAATTGTTGAAATTTCATCATTTAAACTAGATATTTTGGCATCAAGGTTTTCTTGTTGTCCAATATCCTGCATAAAACAAAATATCTGTCATTTTCTTCAGTTACCTCCAAGCCACTTTCCTAACATTCCTTCAGTTCACACAAGGTTCATGTGCTTATGTTACATCTACTGTGAAATTAAATGAAAACTCCACAAGTAGTTTTACAGAACTTTACAACATAAGGCAAATACAGATGTACATAAGTAGATATCAAATAAATATATTTCAGTAAAAGGTAATTTTGTTCAATTGCAGGGTCAGGACAGTTTATTGTGCTAAAAATAGAAGAGTTGCATTTTACTCAGCACCCAGATTTCAAACATGTCTAACTGAAATCTCATATGCAAACATAATTATTTATATTCACTGGATGATCAACACTGCTGGCAGAATTAATCCTTTTCAAATTACTCTAATCAATCAAGTCCTATATACTAGTCACTCATAAATGAAAATATACAAACTGACATGATGCCTCAAGTAATTCCATGAGTGGCATAAGCGAACACCATTCCCTTCATTATGGTTTCTTCACAAACTCCAGTAGCCACATCTGCCTGTCACTCACTTGTTGAGAGACTTCTGGGGCTTGAGCTATCAGATTCATTTATTTGGTACAATTTCTTGAGTTTCAAAAGAGTCAGTGAACTAAAACCTTCTGAGCTTATGCTACACGATATAAACAGGAATATATTTACCATACTGACTCCTCAGTACCATAAAATTGTAACCAAAGCTAAGATTTCGTCTATTGTACAAACAACAGAGAGTCAATTCTAATTCAAAAATTCAAAGCCAAACTAAATTAGAAAGGTACTACTAAGTTCTAGGGGTTTTAAGTTGGTAACTCTGGAAAGGAGATTTAAAGGTACCGTGCAGCATCCATGACCCCCATGTGAGACCTGTGTTACAGGACCCTATTCAACACCCACCACTCAGTGGGGTTGGCAAGTGCCATCATTCATCTCGTTAGAGTGGGACAGCGGAGCCTGCAGGACAGGAATCTGTAGAGCTGTGTAGTAATAATGGGGCAGGGAATTTCCCAAGAACACAGACTTTATCTGAAGGTCTTGCAACAGGTCTTGAATGCAGCAGGACATGAGGTTATGGATGAGCAATTGGAACACTTGTTTTTATGCATGCTTTGTAACCTTTGAGAGTAACAGAGCCTGATATAGGGACAAAGGAACAACGATGGCAATATTATAATCTAAATTTGGACACTCCGAAAATATCCTGTTTTAGACTTGCTGGACAACCTCTCTGGGGAGAAGGAAGATATATCACCTGCCGTTTCTATCTGTGCTGCTGATCAGCCTGGATCATATTCCCTGCTGACAGGGGGTTTAGGACCTCTGGTGAGAGGTCTGTCTTCTACCTTTACTCGTGGTAATCTCCTGCCTTTAATCATGCTGATTTACCTCCAACGGGGAATTTTACCCCCAAAAATCAGCGCCCAGTCACTTCCCCCCCTCACGGTGTGCCACCATGGCAGCCTCCCCTCTCCCTCCGAGCTCCACAGCTGCCAACATGTTTGGGCTGAACTTCAACCACAAAATCAAAAGAAGAAGAAAACGGAGGAAAAAAAAAGGGGGGAGCTTAAATGCATGAATCATCTAAAGAATGGACACACAGCATTGGAACCACTGAATCTATTTGATAATTTGAGTGCCTATACCTTTGTTCTTGGCAATTTAAAAAAAGGGAAGTTATTTATACAGTGTGTTTTGTGCTTTAAAAAAACAAACACCTAGTCCTAGATACATGTGTACAATTAGATGCCCTCACACACATGCTATAGTCCAGATTTAGAGAAAAAAGTTCAGAATAATACCAAAACTGATGAAAAAAAATGTTAAAACTTCAGACTGATTGACTGATTTACGGTTGTGTCAGGGACCTGAGTCACGTCTGAGACACTGCCAGAGTTGGGCTGGATTGTGCTCGTCCCTGTGGCATGGGAAAATATTGTATAGTTTCACTGTTGGAAATACTGAACCTTGGAAAGAGAAACAATAGTTTAGGGTAACTGGTGGGAACTTGACTTTGGTATGGAGTTGGTATCATAAGCCACTGTGGTCTCGGTTCACGTGCTTGGCCACGCGTGAGGCAAAGTCCCAATTGGAGAATTCCACTCCTGTGAGGGGGATACAAGAGGTGGTTCTGGGTTGGATGGGGGGCGATGTACACTGCTTTGATCAGGGGACACCCTGACAGGGGCATGGCCTGCCAGCCCCTCCCGCCAAGCACTGTGCTCCATCTCCTCCTCCTGCTCAGCAGCTTCTCAGAAATTATGGGGTCGGTGTGTATGGAATGCTATTGTAAGTATTAGGATAAATTGCTTTGCTTACACCCTTTGTGTCTCAGTGTTTGTGATTTCGGGAATCCTCAGGAATCCAGAACAATGCCAGATTATTTGTTGTCTTAAAATATGTACATGGAGTTTGTTTCGATATGTGTTTAAATCTTCCTTGAAAATACAACTGATAGAAAACAATGCAACAAAGGAATAAAAGAAAAAAGAAAAAAAGAAAAAAAAAAGAAAAAAGAAAAAAGAAAAAAAGAAAAAAAAAGAGAAAAGAGAAAAGAGAAAAGAGAAAAGAAAAGGAAAAAAGAAAAAAAAAGAAAAAAGAAAAAAGAAGAAAAAAGAAAAAAGAAAAAAGAAGAAAGAAGAAAGAAGAAAGAAGAAAGAAGAAAGAAGAAAGAAG